GAAGCAAGGGCAGCTCCTGCCAGGCCTTGGTCAGACTTCTATATTCCCAGAGAAGTGGGAAAGTAAGGTGGGAGATGTCTGATCCCAGAAACTGGGACCTGAAGCCAGGGAGAACAAAGGCACAAGAGGTATGAACTAAAAAAAACATGGAAAAAACAATGGGAATGGAGACAGCAAAGCACTTGGAGGCTGACAATGATTCCCTATAACAAAGCAAGGAGTTGCCCTAATCCTTGGCTATTTGGAATTTCCAGCCCTTAAGCAGCTCCTTGGAGCTGGAAGAAGGGGAAGGGCATCAGTGACTGCTGATCCAGCCCCCTTCCCACCCTCTCTCCATCCACAACTCCCCTGTGGGTCTGACTGGAGAGCAGAGGGCTCCCAGACTGCATGCCAGCTTCCAGCTGCAGTATTTCCTCCTCTCCTTCTTCCCACAGCTGCCAAGGATGGGCCGTGTTTGCCTCCAGCAGGATCCATGCAGCATTGCTTCCTCCACACAGGAGCCATGAGAGGGAGCTTTGGCACAAGAAATGAGGCTCTTCCTGAAATCCAGCAGCTCTTCCCAAAAATCAGCACTGCACAGGCTCTGGGAACAAAGCAACGAGCCCAGTTCCAGGCAATGCTTTCCAACTGCTTCCTTCAGAGGGATTTCTCAGCAGAGCAATCCATGCAGAGGTGCTGCTGGAATTCCAGCCTTCCCTTTCCTGCAGCACTGTAACACTGCAAGCAGGGAATCACAGAATTCCAGAATCATTTGGAAGCTCCCACCCACTGCTGTGGGCAGGGACATCTTTCCCTAGCCCAGGTTGTTCCAAGCCTTATCCAACCTGGCCTGGAATATTTCCAGAAATGAGGAATCCACACCCCCCTTTGGCAACGTTACTCAAAAGCTGCAGTTACAACCACTATTCCTAAACCCACTGGAATTAAATATTCCTCCTCCCATCCTGCAAAGCCAGAATGTCCTACTGCCAAGGGAAGAATATCCCAGAATGGATAAGGATAAACCCAGCATGGAGGGGAGCTCCAGCTCAGCAATTCCCAAGGCAAACACAGAAGGGCTCTGCTGCCCAATGGAGGCTCTTGGATACAGCCTCAAAACACAAATCCAAACACACCCATTCCAGCAATAATTAATCCTACCTAATTCCCATTGCTAGGAGTAATCCTGATTATTCCTATGTCCCAATTTGTAAATGAAAGCTGTGTGGGCGAGGCCATGGAAATAATATTATCTGCCTGCAGGAAAAGAGCAGCAGAAGCTGAGAAAACATCAAAGTGCATGGAGAATGTGTTAGATATTCATCCTGCATCCCCACGCTTGGAGCTTTTCCTCCTTCTTACGTGCCCTTGGAAACAGATTTCCCACTTTAATCCTGCATGGGACTATCAACTGCTCCTGGAATCTAGCATCCTAAAAGAATAGAACTGGGAATCACTGGAATTCTATAACCACACTCCCCATCCACTGCCATCCCAGCCCTCTGCAGAGACCAAAATACCTCCCACAAATCCTGTTTGCTTTGGAAAAAAGTTCCTAAAAAGTTCCAAGAATCTCATTTAACTGCTTTGGGATAGTTTTCCCATGTGCTATCAAGGATGTGGAATGAGCCATCAGCGCCCTGAGAGAAGGGAGGGATGAGATGGCTCCTGAAATAGGTGAGAAGCACAGGGAGCAAAGAAAAGAGGGAAGCTTTAGGGGGAAATGAATATTCCAAATGGAGAAGGCAGCCCCCATGGAGAAGAAGCAATGATAAATATTGGAAAAGAGCTGGTATATCCTCAGCACTGCAGGATCCTTCCCAAATTTTTTGGCACTGCTCGATGAAAACAACAATAAAATCAATTTACTGGTGCAGAAGAGCCTCAGCTCCATTCCTCTGCCAAGGAACTCTTGGAATACCAACATTCAGCAGTGTTGGAAAGGACCTTTAAAGGTCACTCAGTCCCAAGGAAGAAGGATCAGAATGGATCTTAAGGATGAAGCATGGAATGGGTGACCTGTTGGTTGGTCTGGGGTGTCAGGCACTTCCAGCACTGCCTCTGCAGAGGGTGGAACATCCTGTTGGAGTATCATGGGAATATCCAAAGATCAGAAGGCACAAAGCTGAAGAGGAGGAAGCAGAAGCCAAAAGATTTGGAAAACTGGAGATGCTTCGTATTCCCAAAGACAGCGGGAAGAGAAAGCAGGAAGTGTGTACAGTACAGATGAAGGAGGTAGCTGCAGCTTTAACATTTATTTCAGCATTCCAGGTGTGCTTTTCCAGGAGGATATGGGAGATCAGCCTTTCCAAATGCCCAGATAGCAAAGGAGTGATGGGAATGGAGACACGGAATGCTGGGGATCAAGACACAGCAATGGGGATCAAGACATGGAGGCATTTAAAGCAGAAATAATTCCAAGAACGTGGATTTCATTTGGGAGGACTGGGATCAGATCTGTTTGTCAACAAAAACCAGGAATTATCTATGACAGGATGCAATGAGAACCTTTGAGGGGCTCTTTTGTGCCTTTACTCCTTGACCTGTGGCAAGCCCAGCTCCTGGGAATTACGTATTTCCAGGTTTTCCAAAGTCCAGTAATCACAGAGCAAAAACCTGCAGCATTCCAGACTGCTTCCTGTCAGGGCAAGGGAAGGCCATTCCTATGGGATACAGTTCCAATGGCACAAAGAAGGAAACAGTCACCCAAGGACTGAGTCTTTCAGGACACAGCAGAGGAACGCCAGGGAAGGGACTTTCTAGTGCAACATTTGAGCCATGGAACATCAGCAGGTTCCCACTGGAATCGTTTTAGGAGGGAGATATCCCACTTTTCCTCACCTGGAGGCACCTCTCACCAGTAGTTCCATCTAATCCCAGGTATCCATGTTGCTCCCAGGGACAGAGATGATCCTTTTGCTTAGTGTTTTAAAGTGCTTTGCAGATCCCAAGCTCTGCCTTAGTGCTAAGGGTTAATTCCTGCTGGGAATAAGGGCAGGAATGAGCTCCTTATCCCAACTCCTGGGCCAGAAGGGGAGCTAGCCCGCTAGCCCCGGCCTCCCTGCCCCTCAGCTCCCCTTTTCCCCTCAAACCTTCCCAGATTTTTGTGCATATTCCCAAAAAAATCACCTCGGTAGTGTTTCCTGAGTGCAGGAATTCCTCCTTACCCTGTGCTGTGCTCACAAACCACCTGCTCCCTGCTAATTTTTTAAGGACCTACAAAAACAAAAAGAACTTCTGGTTGCTCAGAATAAAAGGATTTTTCCTTCTCCAAATCCCTCTGGATCCAGAGGGGGTTCCTCCCTCTGATTCCACTCAGGGAAAGGTCACCTTTGGAACCTTAAACCACAGGGATAATGTTTTCCTGGCCGCTTCAAGCACTTCTGAAAGCTCTGAAATGGGAAAGGAGCAGGGGCTGGAGCATCCCACACTGGATGGAGTGGGATATCAGCACTTGGACCCAGAATCCAGTGGAATTCCGTGCACCCAGGATTATTTACATCAATGCACAGTGGTTATAAAGTGCTCCTCAATGGCATTGGATCCCACTGGCTCCCAGGAAGCACAGCCCTGACCCATCCCCGTGCTTCCACAGCCCACAGGGAGAACAGGAAGCCTGGGATTTGCCAGGAACTGAGCTCCTGGAAAGCACAGCATCCTCCTACAATGGAAATAGCACTGCTAAGGAGGGGAAAAGGGAGCAACCACAGGATTCTAAGGAAGTTAAACCAGGAATTTCTTTTCCAGGGAACTCCAGGGAGAGCCATCAGTAACTGCTGAGCTTTGAGGGGGGAGTTGTGGCAATTCAAGGCCTTTTCCAGGTCCCAAGAATGTTTCATTTCCTACAATAGGTAGTTATCCTCCTGCTCCCATCACTGGAAAACCTGCCTGGAGAGGCGGAGCAGGCTCCTCTGGGCCCAGAGGCTCAGGTAGTTTTCCTAACTTGCTCAAACTTTCCTATATGGAATTGTGCAGGTGGGGAGAGGGGGCAGGCAGTTACCCCCGAATCCAAGCCACTTGGGAAACAGGGGGCTTGGAATTCTGCCTGCCATCCTCTCTTCCCTCAGTCCCCAGAGGGAACAGCATGGGAAGGAGAGGATGAGCATGGATTTTCCTTTGGGAAAGCATCCCTATTTCCTTAATAAATACTTTCCAACCAGCTCAGCAGCTCTGTAAACATACAAGAGATTGCAACACTGGGGAAAAGTCCATCTTTTCCCTGAATTCCCAATGACAGAGGCTGGCACTGATCCACAGATGCTGCCTATGGGTGGTGTGAGGACCCCCAGGGATCCAGGAGAGACTCCCAGACTCCACAGGGGCCTGGAAAATAATGCCAGATGCATCTTGCAGTTGATCCATCCACATCCATGCAGCTCTGAGATGAGAATCCTGGCAGTCCCACGGGAATGTCGCCAGCTTAGAGGGGTCCAGGGAACCAAGGAGTGATGGGGGTGATATCCAGGAGAACTTTCTGCCAAAGGCAGAGGGATTGGGCTCTTGGGAACAGCGTCCTTCCCTCTCTCAGGAGTGCTCGGGAGAGAGAAACCACGGTGCCAGCCCCATTCCTGCTGCGCCTGGCCGGGAAGGGGAGACTGGATTTGGGGGGAATACAGCCCCAATGGCTTTAAAACAGGAGTGTCCTACAAAAGCAATCCCCATGGAAGTGTGCCGAATTGGATCTTGGGCCGGATCCGTGGTAGTGCAACAGGGCCCAAAGTCTCAATCCGCTCATTTCCCAAAACCACCGGCTCGGTCCCGAGGAGAGGGATCTGCCCCGGCTCCCTCCTGCTTCCATCTATCCAGGTATCTCACTCCCAAACTCAGCAGGTGCCCCAGGGCAAGGAATCTGCCTCTGGAATGAGACAGGCTGAGGTAGGGAACTTTAGTGCCTCAGACCCTCTCAGGCCCCGTGGGGCAAAGCTTCTCCCAGCTCCAAGCACAGGATTCCAGCACAATCCATCCTCCAGACACCACCACTGGGTCACCCCAGAAAGGATTTTTCCAGCTGTCTCCTCTGATCCCAACTGCCCGATGACAGCCTCCTCCATGGATTATCCCACTGGGATCATTCCACCCCTTTCCCCTGCACTAAAGGGCCGAAATCATGAGGTCGTCCTGCTTGGCAGGGCTGGTTACGTGTCCGGAAGGGGTGGAAGTCCGGATTTTGTCCGTGGCCAGGCATTCCTGGCTGCTCACACCCGTGGGAGTGATATCCATGAGTTCTCCGGATGAGCTAAGGGGGAAGGAGGGTGACACGGAGATTCCCGACGAGGGATCCGTCGAGCCCGCAAACAACCTCGGGGGCTTTGGGACTAAGTTGGGCTCGTACTGTGCCCTCAGCAGGATCTCCTGGTCGCTGACGGATTTGGGAATCTCCGCAAAGTCGCTGGAGCTGTCCGACACCATCATGCAGTAAATGTCCTGGAAGGAGCTGCTTTTGCTGTCCAGGTTGAAGAGGCTGTCGATGAACTCAGCGAATTCCAGCACCTGGGGACTGGGAACGTCGGCCAGGCGGCCGTTGTGGAGCGGGGGCTCTTCCCGAGGGGACGAGGACGTGCGCTCCCCGTCGCTCCCGGTGCCCTCGGCGCTGCAGCGGCGCTGGGGGGTGGTGCCGCCGCTGTTGAGGACGTTTTCCGGGGGCTGCGTCTCCTGGGAATGCTTGGAGAGGCTGTCAGCAGCCAGCAGCTCTGTCCGGGAGCTGAGGGAAGGGTTTTCCTCAGGGATAACGGGGTCTATATAAAAGCAGTGCGTCTCGTCCTTCTCCATGACCGCATGGAGGCTGGGGGAGCCCCGGATGCTCCGGAAGCCGGAGGAGCGCCGGGAATCGAAGCTGTAGATGGATTCGTTGTCCGAGAGGCTCTCCATGGTGGCCAGAGGGGCACGGCGGTCCTGGAGCTCCACGGAGAGACGTTCCTTGGTGTCCAGGAGAAGCAGCTCCACGGGGTCCTTCTGCACGGGAGAAAGCGGCTTCGTCTCATAGAATCCCTCCAGGCTGATTTCCGAATGGGATTTGCTCCTGCAACGGGAAACAGAGAACACAAGGCTGCAGAATTCCAGAACAGCTAGAGGATCTGAGGGTTCCTCACACAGTTCCTCCAACCAGAGGCATCCACAACTCCAGGGATCTCTTCTCGCTCCATCCTCCCAGCTGGAAATACCACAAATGGATTCCCCCTCTGCAAACTCCAGTTCTTGCCCTTCTCCCTTTTCTCCTGGCTCACTAAATCCTTCTCTCTTGTCCAGAGAGGCTGTGGACTATCCCTAATGGTGTTCCAGGTTGGACGGAGCTTGGAGCAACCTGGGCTGGTAGAAGGTGTCCCTACCCATGTCAGGGGCTGGAACTGGATGATCCTTAAATCCCTTCCAAACCAAACCAAACTTGCCTCCAAGTTTTACCTTAGGAAAACCTCACCTGTCTGGCTAAGGAAAAAAAAAAAGAAAGTCTCTCTCATATCTTTTCCTGACCTTGCTGCAGTCAAATTCCTAAGCAACACAAGGGATTTTTTTCCCCTAGATTTTTCCTGACATTCCTCAAGACATCCTGAAGCTTTAATTCCCACAAAGGCCCATGGATCTGTCTTTCCCACAAACATGGATCACACAATGCTCCAAGAAGAAGAGGACCCACACCTGTGGGTATTTATTAATATTTTTAATATTCCATATAAAATCTCTCCTTACTTGGTACTGCTGTTCCTTCTGTCCACTGGGATGGCTCCCGTTCCGATCTGCACCGTGGGGCAGCTGGGCAAGGGCTGGCTCTGGAATATCAGCTCCGGGGTGAGATCCACTTCTGTAGGACTCACCATCACTTTGGCTGCAGAAAGCAGAGCTGTTTTCCCCTTGTTGTAGTTCTCCAAGACCTGTTCAAAGAAAGCAGAGGGACAGCAGGGATTGACTGGAGGCTTTCAAACAGCTGGATAGGCCTCTTTCTTCCCAGAGCCTTCTGGAAGCACAGGGAGATAAAGGATTAGATGGATAAATCCTGCCACATCCCTGGATGTCACCTGGGCTCCAATTTAATAGGAGCTCCTGGAATGAACCATCACCACCCAACCTCATGTTACTCTGATGTTAAATTTGGAAACAGGAGCTTCTGGGACTGTGGGAATTCCATTCCCAGACCCTGTCACCCTCCACTCCCAATACCCTGTGCAAGACTGACCAGGAGCATCCCCTTTCCTCCTCTTCTTTAAAATAAACAGCCTGGTGTATTTAACCAGCAGCATTCCCAGGCTAAGCCTGCCTGTCCCAGTGGTTTTTGGGATGACAATTCCCTGCCTTACCTTGTTGAGCCCTTCCATGACCACGTAGGGGAGGTGTTCATGCAGCATGGCCGGGGAGATGATCACCTCGTTGAAGGCCTTGTTGTCCCCCCAGATGGCAAAATAGGTGGGATCCTCCTGCTCACAGCAGCTGGAAAAGGGGTCCAGACAACAGGGAAAATGGGATGGAAGAGCAGGGCAGCGTTTTGGCATGTGAAAACAGTAGGATGCAGAGGGAGAAAAAGAGGAAAAATAGAGGAAGGAGCTGTTAAAATACATATTGCTCCAAAATCTTGCTTTATGGGGACATGATTATGTATGGACTAATCATCATCCAAAGAGGAAAAGGACTTTGGACAAGGGCCTGGAATAATGGGAAAAGGGGGAGTAGCCTTAAGCAGAAATAAAGTGGGTTTAGATGGGATACTGGGAAAAAATTCTTCCCTGTGAGGGTGCAGAGGCCCTGGCACAGGTTGCTGCCCTATCCCTGGAAGTGTTCCAGGCCAGGTTGGATGGGCTTGAAGTAACCTGGAATGGAGGAAGGCATCCCTGCCCATGGCAGGGGCTGGAACTGGATGATCCTTAAGTCCCTTCCAACCCAAACCATTACAGTATTCCATGTGCTGGTTTAGATTAGATATTGAAGAAACTCTTCCCTGTGAGGGTGGTGAGACTGGAAAACTGGGTTGGATTTCCAAGGGAAGTTGTGGCTGCCCCATCCCTGAAGTGTTCAAATCCAGGCTGGACTTGTCTTGGAACAACCTGGTCTGGTGGAAGGCATCCCTCCCCGTGATCTCCACAGTCCCTTCCAACCCAAACCGTTCCATAACTCTGCCAGCGCAGCCAGAACCGCTGGCCCCGTGAGACAGCGGGGAAGAAAACCCCCTTCTCCTTGTGTCAGGGGGAGTTTTGCATCGAGGATTCCAGCAGGAACTGCAGGACTCACCAGCACTGCTCGGCAGGGTGGTTGTGCACCACGTGGATGATGCGGCCGGGGGGGTACAGGGGGGTGCTGGCACTCAGGGCGATGGTCAGGTCACTGGGATGTGTCCAGAGCCGGTTGCTCGTCACCGAGTTCTCCTCTGGCTCCTCAGGAAGCTCGGATTTGGGAATGCACTTGGTAGCCCCCACAATGATCCGCCACTGTTCCCACAAAGAGAGAGAGAGAGAGAGAGAGAGAGAGAGAGAGAGAGAGAGGAGGGAGGATTTGAGGAGAGAAAAGCAAAAAAACAGTTATCTTTCACACAGGAGGGATTTGCCTAAGGAAGGTGTGTGAAACGCCACCAAAGGTGTCCAGGAAAAACACAGTGACACTGGGAATAAATAAGGAATGATACAAGGACAGGAAAACAGGGAAGCTGGATACAGAGATGATCCAAATGTTTCTGAAAGTTGATTTTCCTTTCCCAATTATATATCCTCTCCATCGTGTATTATCCCTAAAAATCTTTGTATTTAATGGGTTTTTTTCCATCTTGGTGCAATGGTAAAGACTGGGGAGGGACAACTTCCCACATTTCCTATCTCCAAGACATGAGCAGACCATTTATCCTGGAACAGCATCACCCCAATGTTCTGACAAGCACAGGTGTTGGACTTCCAGTCTGTTCCCAGTTTTAAGTGGTCAGGAAAATCCACACTTGGAATACAGACTTTAAAAGAGGCTCAAACAGAAAATTCCCTGCTCAGTTATTTGGGATGTGTGATGGTGAAGTTTCAGCAAGTGAGCCAGAATGATCCCACTGAGCTCTCCAGCTCTTTCCATCATTCCTCTGGTTCCCTAAATAATGATCCTGAGGAGGCCTGGAGGAAACCCACCCTTCTTGCCACTAAAATTCCCCCCTGCTCAGAGACATCTCCAGGTGTTGGTTCTTCCCTCTTACCTTTGGTTTGGTGCTCCTTTGGAGAACATCCAGAAGCTGCCGGCGAAATCCCTCCAGCTGAGAGAGCCCGATCCTGGAAGAGAGGAAGATGTGACCATGGAAAAGAGGAAGATGTGACTCTGGACAAAAACAGGTGTGGTTATGGAAAAGAGGAAGATGTGATTCTGGAAGGGATTAAGATGTGATTCTGGAAAAGAAGAAGTGAGTCTGAAAAAGAAGAAAATTATGGATATGGAAGAAAACACCTGGGCAGGGAACAGGACAGGAAGGATATGGAGCACAGTAAACAAGGCATTGTGTTTAAAAGGACATTAAAAAGATACAACATGGAGCAGATGGATTCAGAAGTGGGCTGTGGCATCAACCAGGAGCAAGAGCCAGGAGTGAGAGGCCCAGAGAATTACAAGGACAATAACAAGGATAGGATCAGGGAATGAGGGAGGTGACGACAAAGATGGGACAGAACAGGTGAGTTGGAAAAGTGTCCTGGAGCTGAATGACACCACTGAGCAGATGACAGGATGGACAGGATCATGGCATCCAGGTAATTTCCAGGTTGCCCGGCTTCTGTTCCAAATCCCTGCTCAGCAGAACTTATCCCAGGAGATAAGGAAGGTGAGGAATGCCAAGGCACAAGGAATGAGCTGGTTTGGAGATGAAGTGACATGGAACAGGGATTTTGGGACAAACTGGTCCAAATGAGGTGGCAGCCTATCCAGGACAGGGCCAAGATAACGCAGGAAACCAGGAAAGTGGCACATCTGATATTCCAGGTACCATAAGGGAGGATTCCAGAGGTAGGACATTCCCCCTTTTCTTTCACACAGGAGGGATTTGCCCATAAAACCCCAACAAAGGTGTCCAGGAAAAACACAGTAACACAGGGAACAATAAAAGGACAGGAAAATGAGGAAGCTGACGACAGAGATGATCCAAGTGTTTCAGACAGAAAACAGATTATTCAGGACAGAACAGCAGAGATTCATCAAGGAATTCAGACAATCCTCCACTTGCCTGGGCACCAGATCTTTGCCAAGCACCACTGCAGTCACAAACTCCTTGGAATACTCCATGGCATCCTCACTAGAAGAGAAACAGGAGCAAGAAGAAGCAAACAGTGTTTCATTCCCAATTCAGTGGCAGGGAAACCAGGGGCACAGACCCCAATCCAAGCTCCAGGCTTTGGGGATTTGTGCCTTGTGGAAGAAAAGTCTGATCTCCACATCCTATGGCCCAATCATTCACCTGCACAAGACTCTGGATATAGCTGGGAAAGGAAATGCTTGAACTGAATGCCTCATAGTCATTTTCCCATAGTTTGGGAATGGTGGGACAGCCAAGGAAGAAGATATTTCCTGCTCCTGAGGCTACAAGGTAGGATGAAATACCCCAATATTTGGGAGAATTCAAATGGCAAATTTCTGCAGCAACCTGACTTCCAAGACAAGAAGAAAGAAATCAAGATTCCCACTCTGAGTTTCCTGGAGAAATTCCCAACCAGTCACCATGGGCAGAGGCTGCCTCACTGACCTAGGGATGATCATGGGCATGACACAAGTCAGGAGCTACCAAGGGATCCAGGAGTGGAAGTTTGGAGCAGAAGGTTGTACAACTCTCCTGAAATATCCTGCTCTGTAGCTCTGTGGCTCGTATTCCCACCTGGGAATACTACAACAAGGAATGCCAGCATCCAGATTCAGCAGCAGGATGGTTTAAAACCCTTGGCTGCTCCCGGAATATGATGCAGGCACTACCAGGAGAAGCTTCTCATGATCCATAACTGATTGCAAGGATCCCCATGGTGTCTGTCAGGACCAGGAAGACCTTCCCTCACTTCCCAGCAATCCAATGGGATGTTTTGTTTGGGAATGACATGACCAGCAGATCTGTTCCCAATTATAATGGGAGGGATTCACAATTAATCTCTTCCTGGTTTTGCCCCACAGCCAAGGGAGGGAAACCAGAACAATCCCTGTGAGCAATTTTTGGCTGCAGAATGGCAGAAATCACATCCCAATTCCAAATTTTTGGAAAAAGAGTCTAAACAACTGGATCAGCTGCTGCAGACGCCTGCATTTGGTCAAGTATCTCCTTTATTTCCATCTATTCAGTGGGAGGGGGTAGAGGGTAAGGAAATTGCACCCATTTCCTATTAAATTTAGACACATGGATAATTCAGTTATAAACCAGAATATTTGGGATTCATTTGCCATCCTAACTTGAATACCAAACTATATCCCAGAGGAAACGCTCAGCTTCTCCAGGCTGCCTTGTCCATTTCACTGCTCCCTAGAGCCTCACAAGCAGGATCCAGTGTATCCTAACACCTACCTGAGCAGCCCACCTGGGGGGGAATAAGCAAAGCACTTCAGGGATGGATACTGGGGACGCAGCAGGAAGGACAGGATGGCAGCTGTGCCAGCTCCAAGGGAATGCCCAACCACAATCAGGCCATAGTGTTTTGTTCCTCTTCCCTGAAAAACATGGAAACAACAAGGAATCGAGGTCAGATGGGAAATGAAATTGAATTTATCCCCCAAATCTCTCCCTTTCTCCAGTTTTGGAGTCTGTTTCTATACATGGGCACTCCAGATTCCAGCTGAATGGCTCCTTGCTTGTTCTGAATCATGGAATCATCACAGAATCCTGGAATGGTTTAGGTTGGAAAGGAAGGGAGACATCATTCCAATTCCATACCCTGCCATGGGCAGGGACACCTTCCACTAGCCCAGGCTGCTCCAAGCCCCATCCAACCCACGCTGGAACACTCCCAGGGATGGGGCAGACACAGCTTTTCTGGGAAACCTGTGCCAGGGCCTCACTGGAGGCTGGAATTCGTTCACTTCTTGAATTCTACATTTGGCCTACTGGGACTTTCCTGAAAGAAAGAAGGTGGGAAGAAAAAGGGAAGGCACACCAGCTATCTGAATTATTTAGGATTTGATGGGAGCTTTTTGTCCCTCCTGATAGCATCCAAGCCCACACAGAAAGTGTCTCTAAACCTCACTGGACACTTTTCTCTGGAATATGTGTCCTTGGCAACTGTCAGAAACAAGGTCCTGGGCTGGTGGGACCTGGGATGGCACTTATGGACCTAAGGCCAGGAAATATTCCTCCTGAGTAACAAAACAACTCCCATTTTCCTTTTCTAGGCAGAGAGGAATGAAGCTCCATCCCCAAAAGCTGGATGCTGGTTTCTCTCTCCCTCCCATCCACCAAATATCCCAAGGCAGCACTTCAGCAACTATTTCCAACATATAAACCAAGGTAAGCTGCTTCCCAACATCTCCCTTGAGTCCTGTGACATCTCCCTGCCACCAGAAATGTGCCCACAGGGACAGTCACCACCGCATTCCAAAGAAAATCTCCATAAAAATGGGATTTTAGTTCCTGCTGATTTGGTTTTAATGCTCCCTGTCCTTCATTGCCACCATGTGGGACTTCCTGCCTCAGGAAATGGAAAATAATCAGGAGCTCTGCACTATTGGTGCTTCCAAAATAAAAAAGCCTTGCAGAAAGTCTGGATGGGGATTGGAGCAACCTGATCTTGTGGAATGTTCTCTGCCCATGGCAGGGGGTGGAATGGGATGAGCTTTAAGGTCCCTTCCAACCCAAACCATTCCATGAAATGAGTAACTAGCTGGAAATCCTGGAATTAAAGGAAGAGCTGAGAAATGAATACAACAAACTCAGGGACATGGAGATTCCCTTAAAACCCAGTTTTTTATGGAAATCCCATCCTCTGTCCAGAGACAACTTGTACTCACCAAATCCCGCCCAAAAGCTTGGGACAGCACCATCTCCTGCTCCAGCTTCTTCTTGATGTACTCAGCAGACAGCACCATTCCCTGTGGGAAGCAGTAACACACAGCAGGATGTAAATGGGATCTCAACATCCAGAAGGTGAGGAAGCTCTGGAATGTCCCTCAGCATGGATCAGGATGGAGGGAGAACTGATTCCCCTCTGCATTTCCAAAGTTTTGGTGCTTAAGGAGTAAAGGCAGTTCTTAATTAAGGAACACTCCAAGGGCCTATTCCTGGGCTTTTAGGGGGAAAACTACCCTAAATCCAATTAACTTAAACACAGGATTGTGGATTTGATACTTCAGGCCAAGGGACCTGGGGCAGAACAGAGAAATAGACTTGGATATTCTAAATATTGGTTGTTTTAAAGCCAAATTATCCTATTCCAGGTAAATCTGGGATGGAGTTTTCAATTTAAATCTGGGAATAAAAGTGTGAATCATTCTAATAGAGATAATGATTCAAACACCAAAGGGAAAAGTGGCAGCACAAGGAATTAGTTCCTGCCTTCTCCAGCCATCAATATTAAGGGGATTTGGCTGTCAGAGGACATTCATCCCAAATTATTAAAAGTTTTTATTCCCTAGAAGTCAAGGAGTGCTGGAAGTTGGGAAAGTTGGGAAAGTTCTCTGCTGTTTCTCAGATTCCAAATGTAATTGATGCAATTCCAAGTGCAGTTATAAACAAGCAACTGGAATTTGGTTTATGGCATAAATTCCTGATAATGCTACAGTTTAACTCAGTGGGAAGTGAACCTGAACTCCAAAAAATGGGGAGACATGGGGAAAATCTTCTCCTTGGCTGTTTTTTCCTTTAAATCCCTATCTTAAAATGGTGTGAGTACAATGGGAATGTTACTGGGGGCTCACTCTTCATCTCAGAGATAGGCAAGGATTCCTGGCTCCAAAAGCAAAGAAAAATATATGTAAATAATAATATATAAAACCTCAGTTATTCCAGAGAGCTGGATCAGGGGTTGGAGTTAAACACGGCAGGATAATGAAAGGGAAAAATCAGAGAAACATCAGGGAGAAATCAGAGGTAAATCAGAGGAAGAGCTGAGGGGGGAAAATGAGGGGGCGGAAATTTGGTGGGAAAATTGGGTGAGAAAACTAAACCAAGGATCAATAAATCAGGGATAAATCTAAATCAGGGATAACAGTGCTGACTCTCTTGCAGCAATATCACCTCATCAAGCCTCCAGAGATCAAGTTTTATTCCATCCTTATGGAATTTCTTGGGTTGTTTCAAAGAGGGGCAGAAAGGCATAAGAGAAGCCAGTGAGGAAAAAAAGCAAAGAAACATGGATTTTTCCAGGTCCTCAGTATCTGAGATGTCTTTGATCCCAATGTGGATACTGAAGAGGGGAAGCAGGACAGAGGAGACCCCACTCCAAGGAAATGAGATAAACGGCATGCTGCCACCACTAAAAAGCACCACAGTGGTTGTGCCTTGTCCCAGCTCCTCCCCAGCTTCCAGAAGAGTCTCCACTCCCAATCCTAATGAGAAGTGAGCAGCAGGCCACTGATCTAAATTCCCACCGCGAATTTGGGATTCTATTTTTAGGGAGCGTGACCCAAATCCATGGTGATGTCACTGCTGGGATGTTAGTCAGCCTTTGGGACGTGGTTTTGGTAATTATATCCTAATGGAGACAGGGATTTTAATTATTATGGAATGAGACTGTAAACTTCCATTTAGATTCACCATTGGAAAAATTCCCTAAAATTCCTGGAATCCTGGTTTGGGTTGAAAGGGACCTTAAGGATCATCCCATTCCATGGACAGGGACATGTTCCATTAGCCCAGGTTGCTCCAAGCCCTAACCTGGTCTTGTACACTTCCAGAGATGTAGCATCCATAAATTCTCTGGGAAACAAATCTAATTTCAAGTTAATAAAACTATTTGGGCTTAATTTTGCAAGTTCACATGTAAATAACCAAATGGATCAAGGATTTAGGAAAAGGGAATAGAAATATTTCGCATTGTTTTGCATCCCAAAGGCACAAAACTGGCACAATATCTCATGATATTTGAGATTTTGGGGGAAAACCCCCAGAAGGGTCCATTATGAGAGAAAAATGTTGAAAATTCTCATTACTGGGATCATGGCTGAGCTTCCAGGACTTTCCAGCAGCTCCTTGTCCTCCTGGTTGGCTCAACACCAGGAAACAAAGCTCTGTAACATCCTATTTTCACTAACTTTGTCCTGGGAGTTCAACAATTAAATCTGGATTCACCCCTTTGGCTGAGGATTATTTTTAAAATTAACTTTGTTATAAAATCAGTGGAGTTTATTGTAAAAATAGTGAAGTTGGATTCTTCTTTGAGTTATAATCCCTTTTTTTTTTGGCATTCTAATCCCCAAACTTTAGTTCCAGCTCTATTTTTTTGATCCAGAATAGCTCAGAGGCCTGATAAATATTTTTTTTAATTGTGACATTGGAGCTGTGGAGTGATAAAAAATTTCATGTAAACATCAAGACTTGGAATTTTAGGATGGCTGACAGACACCCCCGGGGATGGGTGGGACAGAATTAGCAGGAAAACACCCCAAATGAAACAAATCCTGGGAAAGCTCCCACGTAGCCAAGTCCTTGTTTCCAAATTAAATGTGTAAGTGAGACATTGGATTTGTTTGGATATTAAACTTGACTCCTGGACATTAAAAATGCATTTAAAATTCCATTATCTCCCTTAGTTTTCCCTTGGGAATCAACAGCACATTATTGTCTGCAGATTAATATTGATAATAATGCCAGAGAAAGTGAATATTTCTCTCCTGGCATCAATCCCAAAAAAGAAATAACACAAAGGACAAATAAAAGCTCTGTCTGGAACAAAGGGAATAAACTGATAATGTTTCATGGAAGTCGCCAGTGGAGGAATATTTTCATATAAAGATCAAAAGCAAAGCCAATTTCTGCAAGGATCTATTATTCCTGGATTTTCATTGAATCATGGAATTCTGGAGTGGTTTGGATTGGAAGGGACCTAAAAGCCCATCCCAATCCCATGAGCAGGGACACCTTTCATTAATCCAGGATCCTCCAAGGTGCCCCAGCCTGTGGCAGGGGTTAGAACAGGATTTGTAAAATCCCTTCCAACCCAAACTATCCCAGGATTCCATGACTCTATTTCCTAAAGCAGAGAGAAGAGGTTTGGTATTCCAGCAGGACACCATGAGGCAAGCTGGAGTTCCCAGCTCATGGCTTCCAAGGACTTCCAAGCTCCACATCCCACCTTGAGCAACACCTCCTTCCCCCCAGCAGCACTTCCAGCAGCTGCACTGTTCCTTCCAACCTCCACTCTGGATTTTCCTTCCCCAACTTGGCACTGCAGCTTTGGAAGCTGCCAAATTCCCGATCATCTTAAAAACTCAGCACGTCGTTCCTTTGCCAGACAGGGGCAAAGGTCAGCTCTGGAATAAATGGATTTAGCCAGCCCAGAGCTGCTCACAGACACAGAGCACCCATCTAATTTCATGGATCTGAGTCCTGCCAGTATCCTTTGAGGACATTCCCATCACAGCAGAATTTTAAGCACATTCTCAGGCTTTTGATTGAAAATTCCTTAAAGGTCGTTGGAAGAAAAAGTAGTTTGAGTGGCTCCGGGAATTTCATTGTGGGTCTCCACGATGCCTTTCCGAATTTGGAATTCTCTAATTGCACGGAGTTTTTAATTACACGCCCAGTGATTTTAACTGTTCCCACTAATTATTTAACACCTCAAAGCCCTTTCTGTAACTTCTTTTTCAAGTAATTAAGACCATTTGGGGGTTTATAATTAAAAAGTGAAATAATTTTAAAAATCCATGGGGTTTTGTTTGGTTTGGAATTGTTTTCCCTTTGTTTTCCCCACCTTGTGTCCCAGCCACGTTCCATGGTGCCCCTCAACTGGCAGGCGCTCCGCGTCCCCCGTCAGATCCGTCAGGGCATCCTGGAAGAAAAGCAGTCACCTTGCTTCAGGTGAGTCAAATCCAAATCAGGATTCCAAACTGGGAAGGGCTGCAACTCTCTGGAATACCCACCAAGGAGGCCGCTGGACATCCCACTTACTTTTGGGGACAGAGTTCCCCGGATGCTGATGACCACCTTCTTCTTGTCATGGTCCACAGCCACGTAGAAAGGGGTTTCATAAACCTGCAAGAGATCAGGAGACACATTCCTGTTGGAGTATCCTTGGGGAAAAGGAGACAGAGCATATGGCAGGATTTGTGTCCAAATAAGAGAATTTTTTGATGGAAATAGAAGAGGAAAAGGCTTTATTTCCCTTCTTTGTCCCAGTAGAGCCAGAAGAGGGTAAATCCCGTTGGGAAGGGGGTCTGGGGTTGTCCTTACGGCGTCGTGGCAGGAAGTGTAGACGATGTCCACGGAGGTCATGTTCTCGTCCAGGAAGTGGCGGCGGATGGCGATGGCGTTGCAGCCACAGCAATTGTCCTCCTCGATGGTGACACCGGGAGCATAGCGCGGCCGCGACGGGCACAGGCAGCAACACCTGCGGGGAAGCAGCGTGGCTTTGAGGGGAAAAGGCTGGATTTGGAGTGGCATTCCTAGAGGAAAGGGAAAGGCGGGCTCTCCAAACCTCATCCCAATGGCGGCAGCGAGTGCCAAGTGAAGGATAAAACCATGAAACAGCCTCAAAATCTGGGATCAGGTGCAGTTTTCCTTTTGAGCACCAGAGAGAGCTACAATGCAGCCAGTCCCCAAGGAATCCAAGGATTATGGGATGGGACGGCTCCTCAAAGGATACTATCCTTGGAAGCACAGTTTTCCAGTGCCTCAACATGGAAAAGCCAACACTGACCGAGCTCCAGGTTTATTTTTAGGGAAAAAAACGGGTTTAGAATCATCCCAAAATAAAAAGAGAAGCGCAGGTTGATTTTCCTTCTTTCTCTCTCACAAATAAAAGTATTCCCAAGTAATCACATTCCTCCCAGGAAGTGCCAAAAGCTCATCCCCAAATTGAATCCAGTGACAGAATTCTGGCAGCTGGAAACAAACCCTTGCACCGGGGCAAAAATTCTGAGCTGGAAAAATCCAATTAATCTGAGGGAGCACAGCCCAAGCCAGGCAAATCTTGGAGGTCTTTTAATCAGGACCCAAATGTGAACTCCCTGATTTTTGAGCTCCAAGAAGCTCTTTTTGGACTTGGTGTTGTGCCAGGTGAGTTGTCTCTGCTGGCTGTTCCATGCTCCAGAGAGAATGGAGCAGAGGACAGGCTGGTTTACGTACTAGGAACTGGAAGGGATTCAGAAAGCCTTTGGAATATGAAGCCCAGAGAGATGGAAAGAAAAAACACGGGGAAAAAAAGGCAGAAAAGAAATTGAGCAGGGAGGAAGCACCACGGGGATGAAATAAACGTGGGGAAAAACAAAGGGTATTTCTAAACGTGGGAAAACCAGGCAGGAAAAAAGGGATGAGGGTGGGCACTCACGAGCAGGATCTGGCCAGGCGGCAGAGTCCACATGTGGGCTTCCTCATGAGGTAAATGGGCCATCCATAGGCAGCCAAGGCGAAGAGCATGTAGTAACACACCTCCCGGTACCGCTGCATCTCTTGCTGGAAGACACGGCACTCCCTGAGCCTGCCATCTCTTGGAATTTCCCCCTCCATTCCCTTTTTCCACAGTTAGGCACGTGCTGAGTGCCAGCCCCCTCTCCCAGCTGCGCTGTGGTGACTGAGGACAGTGAGGTGGGGATGCCAGGCAAGAGCCACCCCCTCCCAAAGATTCCTCTGCCTGATTTCCTGAGGAATTCTCTGGGGTATCCCACCACGCTGCCAAGGAAGCTGCTTCCTGCAGATTTGGAAATGAGCTCCCTAAATATCCCCTCTCCAGCAGGCCAAAGGATGCCTGGAGAGGGCCACAAAGCCAATGTGAAGCAGTTGCATCCTATAAAAGCTCAGTTATTCCAATGAGCTGGATCGGGGGTTGGAGTTAAACACAGCAGGATAATCAGAGGGGAAAATCAGAGAAACATCAGAGAGAAATCAGAAGGAGGAAGAGGTGAAGGGAGAAATGGCAGGGGGCTAATAAGGGGGTGGAAATTTGGCAGGAAAATCAAAATCAGGGATAAATCAAAATCAGGGATAAATCAGACATCTCTAAATCAGAGATAAATCAGGGATAAACCAAAATCAGGGATGAATCAAAATCTGGGCTAAATCAGGGATAACAGTGCTGACTCTCTTGCAGCAATATCACCTCATCAAGCCTCCAGAGATTAAGTTTTATTCCATTCTCATGGAATTTCTTGGATTATTTCAAAGAGGGGCAGAAAGGCATAAGAGAAGCCAGTGAGGAAAAGAAAACAAGGATCACAGGTGGGTTTGGAGGATTCCACATCCCAGGGACTTACCGCATTCTTCAGATCCAGGTATTTGGTGTTCCTGGTCACTGGCATTCCAGACAGGAAAGCTAAAATGTCATTGTTTGCCTGGAAGCCACAAATACACAGAAAAATTCCTCTGTGTGACAGCAAGACAAAAATCCACTCTCAAATATCCCAACCAGGCCCCTCAAATACTTCCAATGGTTTTATTCCTGCCTGATTTGAATCCCAACTCAAGGGGGAAAAAAAACATTAAAATAAATCAATTTCCTACTGGCCTGACAATGCACAAACCTCATCAGCAGCTCAGAAAACTGGGAATTTTTCCTGACTCCCAAATCAAGGGAAAAACTCCAATAAAATAAATCCATTTCCTACTGTACTGACAACCTGCAAACCTCAATAGCGGCTTGGAAATTCAGGAATTTTGGAAATTTTATTAATTTTTCCCCCTGCAGATTGCTGGAGTCTTCTCCATATCTTTGTACAGTGGGAGTAATCTTCCCATTCATTTCCAAGTACCTACAACCCCCTTGGAGGTGTTTTGGCATCAAGACGACCTCCTGTGTCACCTGCCTGGAGAGGATCAATCCAGATTCCAGACTTCCCTCAGCACCAGCTGAATCCTTTGACAGGGAAAAAACTCATGGAAAGCTGCTGAAGTTGCCATGATTTTTCTTTCCCACCTCAGTGAGCGAGAACAGCCCGGAGATGAGGTGGGCAGAGCCCTGCAGCTGTTTCCCAGGGAATCCCAGAGCAGCTGGGATTGCAGGCATTGCCAGGTTTGCCCACCTCGTCCAGCACGGCGTTGCGCTTGGCGCGCTGCCGCTGCCGCAGCAGAACCAGCCCCGCGATGATGTCGGAGGGCACGATGTCCAGGTCCCGGAAAAATTCCGCAAAAAGGTAGGCGATCTCCGAGTAGGCATCCTGCAAAAGCCAGGGAGAGAGGGCTTGGAGAAGGAGGAGGAGGATGAGGAGTTTGGGTGTGGGAAGCCTCAAAACAGGACACAAAGTGAGAACTGGACTCGTTTCTGGAGCTCAGCCTCCAAAACAGGCACAAGATTCCTGCAGGGAATGCCAGATCTGGACTAATCACATGATTATTGTGTCTTGTTTGTTTTCCACAGTCCCACTCAGGGGCTGGATTTGTGCCGTGTGTGGGCACCTCAACATCCAAACAGCTCACAGAGGACACAGGGAGAGAAAGGGAATGGTTTTGGCTCTCTCTATTCAACCAAATAGAGAAAATGGAATGAAAACCAAGCAAATCCCAATCCAGTGCTACCTCAGAGTCATCTTTTCTCCTCTAAAGCAGAATAAAGGCCATTCTATGAGGAAAAAACACTAGTTTTGTCCTATTTAAGAGTCTCTTCAACTCTAACTTTGCCCTGGGATCCTTTTTCCCATATTTATCCCAGACCTGAGATCCTGTTGTCCAAACTTAACCCAAACCTGGGAACCTTGCCCCAAATCTACCCCAGACCTGAGATCCTTTTGCCCATATTGCCAGGCTTTTCCAGGTTTATTTTGAATGACACCCAAGCAAAAAGGCATGAAAAGTAAAATCAGAGACACTGAATGCAGAATTCCCAGGAATGAAGGTGACCAAACCCAAAAAAGGAGGGAGAGAAATGGAAGTGACCTGACAGGGTCAAGCAAAGTCCTGAAGCAGAGGGACAAAGGCATTTTGAAGAGAAATGTCTTTTTTCCACTTTTTGCTCTGTGTTACAGGGAAAAAAAAACCAGAAGACCTTACAGGAGAATATTTTGGGAAGCTGGAGAGGGGCTGGAATGTGGGCCAGTGCTGACCTGTCATTACTCCAGCCTAAAGACAAGGATGATCCAGAGGCTGGAGCAACAAAACGTGGAGCTGTACCCACCAATGATCCATATTTGACTCCTGCTATCCAAAACTTTTCCTACAAGGATGATCACAGCCTTACCTGAACCTTTACCCTGTGTTTTCATAGTATCCTTCATCCAGCATCAAAACCCACAAGACTGGAGTGTTGTGGAAACCCTGAGCACTCCAGGACGGGATTTCTCCTCTCCGTTCTTTGACCATCAAGACAGTAAATCCCTTCTCTTCCCTGCAGGAATGACCTACATCCTTTTATCCCTGCCAAACTCCTGGCATGTGGGATGACTTTCTGTCATTTTTCACTTCCCCACAAAAGCCAGTTAAATCCCCATTAAGAACTGGGGCTCCAGGTGCCAACTCTCTGTGCCAGCAGTGCCTTTGGAAAGCCAACGGCATTCCAACCGCAGTATCCTTGAAATCCTGACCTCATCAATCCTAGCATGGCTCCTGTGAGCTCACAAGAAATGCCAAGAGCCTCCAAAGGAAATAGGACAAACACCCATTAATCCAAAGTGGCAGCTACAGCCCTGGATGCTGTGACAAAAAAAGGCCCTGATGGAAGTTCAGTGCATATTTTCCGCTCCAAAGGAACAGCTTTCTGTGGGAACACCTGACTTTATTCCTGTTTGTCCACCTGGAGTGCTCTGCTACAAACCCTGAAGGCTTTGAGGCTTCAGACTTCACCCCAGATCCTTTCCCCAAAGCCATGTCCATCCCATAAAACACTTTTCTAGCCCAGAGGACAATAATCTTCTGCTGATACATTTTTTTTTTTCCATGGGGTCTGGGATGGGCAGCAATGGATTCATTTCTGATCCATTACGTGCTCATTCATTCCACACGCTGCCATGCCAGGACACAACGTCAGGGCTTGTTCCTGCAGAGAAAAAAGGCTGGAAATTGCTCAAAAGCTGGATGTAAAGTGGAAATTCAACAGCACGAGGAATGTGAAGCATTTGGAATCCACTTTTATTCCAAGCTTAATAAAAAAGAGAAACAGTCACTGCAAAATGGAAAGTTTGTTAAAAAGAACTCGAAATATTTGGAATACTCTGCAATCCTGAATAAAATGGGAGTTGTTCAGGGCATTCAGGTGCCTGTCAGGGCTCCCTCTCCCAGGATGCAGCATCCATGCTGTGCCTCAGGACAGGAGTCTCCAGCACTCTGGCAAGGTGACCTGGATGTGCTCTCAGGGAGAAGGGAAGAGCCTCTGCTCTGGAGCACCAAGGAAAAGCTGCTGCAGGAGCTGCCAGAGCACAAAGCTCCCTTGGTCTCAGTTTTCCAGATGGATTTCCAGATGGATTTCCCAAGCAGATAAGCTGGGAGCTGGCAGGCCTGAGCTTGAACTTCCCAGAAGGACATTCCCAAGGAACATGGTGGCATTTCAGCCAGGGAAAGGAATCCTGGGAGGGGCAGCATTCTGAGACACAGTGCTGGACTTCTGCACAAGGGCTGTGACAATTCCTGAAGCCTTCCACACTCTGGAAGCTGCACCTGTGGACAATTCCACAGCACTCCCTAAGAGAAGCTGCTAATCCAATCCATCACCTGGGAAGAACAAACGTTCACCTGACTCTCCTTTATTTTTCCACTTTCCCTTTGGAGCTTTCAATCCCAGTCTCATTTCTCTTCCTCTCCACGTTCACATCCCTTCCAATGTGCTCCTTTTCCTGCTGCATCCTTTTGGAGCATGAACTCTGGGCTATATTTAGTGAGGACACGGCGGCTGTGGTCGGTCCCTTGGTGTTTTCCCTGTCATTTTCCATGCCCTTCTAACTGGAGTTAAACGTCTGGGCGGATTTTTTGGCCACTGCTGGTTTTGTTGGAATGTCCTTGATAAATCCCAGCTTTTTCCCTGAGAGGTTGTAACTAATTCAGAGCTCAGTGTCTGCAAGTACACAAATCTCCTGATTTTTATGACTTTCTCCTCCCTTTGGGAACAATTCCCTGGTTCTGCTGGCTCCTTCAGGAGTCCTCAAATCCTCAGAAATTTTAACTAACTTAGTTAAATCAAAAGCAATTTTTCAGCACCAAAGTTTGACTTGCCTCTCCAGCAGATCCTAAGGAATGCTGGTGAATTCCACCCTCTGGCACAAACCTGCTCCTAGTGATTCTAAGGAGGTTGGAATAACTTTGGGGAAGGAGTTTCAAAGCCTTTACCCTTCCCTGCCAGAGAACAGCAAGGGAAAATCCCAATGGCAGCACACGAAAATTCCCAGTGACCTTCACGTGGATCTATGGATTGGACAGTTTTTGACTGTCAGGAGATCCAGAAGGATTTTGGTGATTCTTCCAGGTTTTTGTTTTCCCATTTCCAAATCCTCCTCCTTAAGGGTGTGAGACTGATGTAAACAACAGGAGAAAGTGCTCAGGAAGGGGCTGATAAAGGGAAACAGGAGCTGCCCAGGAAGTGCTGCCAAATGTGATCCTAACCTGAGGGAAAACAGGGATTCCTCCCATTGATATTTTGATTCCCAACAGGAGAGTTTTGGTACCCACCGACTGGGAGTCCTTTGTCCGTGTGCAGCAAAGGAACACCTTGAGCCTGCGTGTCCAGCTGCTGGCTTGTCCCTCTTCCAGGCGGTGTCTGGGAATAAAGGGGAGAGCAGGAATGTGAGGAGAGGCAGAACATGGTGTAGGATCCAACATGGAGTGGCACAGCCTGTGCTGTCCCTGGAAAAATGGGGTAAGGTTCCCCCAATCCTCCTTTTCCTCAGGTTGAGCCCCCTGAGCTCCCTCAGCCACCCCTGGTGCTCCAGCTCCTGCCCCAGCTCCGTTCCCTTCCCTGGATATGCTCCAGAGAAGTGTGAATCCACAGGATCAAGCACTGTGTTTGGATACCTGGTATCCTGCCTGATTAGGATGCATGGAATGAAGTTCCCATTGCAATTTGGCAGCTGCTCCATGTGCCAGGATGTGCAACCACTCAGGAGGAAAAAGTTACCTCAGGGTGAGGGAGTGGGAATGGCACAAGAGACCCTGAGCATTTCAGACATGCAATTTTTCCCAATCACAAAATCAAGGAATGCTGTGGGTTGGAAGGGATTTTTAGGATCACTGTGTTCCACCCCCTGCCATAGAAGTAGGGACTGACTCCGTGCCAGAGTGCCAAGCTCCCTGAAGTCCACAGCTCCTCTTCCAGGTCAGAGCAATCCAAAATAAAACATCATTCCATTTTCTGGCAGGGTATCCCATCAGGATAAGCCCAAGCCCAGAAAGTGGTTTGCACCTGGAAGGAAAAGATGCTGGCAAAGGAATATTTGCTTGAAATGGAAGGAGCAGATTCCCACAGGGATCCATCAGCTCCTGCCTGAGTATCTGAAAACAGCTCTCCATAACCTTTCAGAAGAGGAATGGGAATATGAGTGGCAGCAGGGCTTTGCTCCCCCAGATTCCAAAGAACTCCAGAATTTCCCTGGTTGTGTTCAACAACCAAGTGTACTCTGAGCTGTTTTCCCTCCATCTTTTCCCAAATTCTTTCTTCCTAACTTCCAAACATTCAGTAGGAGCTCCAAAGCTCCATGGAAAAGCCTTGGCACAGCAAGCCAAGCCTTTTATTGGGTTGTTTCTTTTTCCCAGCCCACACACACCACGATGCCACTGGGAAAGGAAAACCACCGTGGGACACAATCCAGCCAGGCAGAGAACTTCCTCATCTATTCCTTGGAAAGGATTTCTTTCAGCAAGAGGGAGAAGTTGGGAATGTATCCTTTGGAAACAATTGTTTGAGCAGTGAACAGTCACATTTGATGTTTGTTTTTCACATCATAGCCCACAGCGTTTGCTTGTTAACAGCTGTTAACATTCCCTTTCCAGAGGGAAAACCCATGAAGAGCAGGAACAAGCTCTCCATAAATACTGCAGGCCTGGAGGGAAAAACCCAGCCACGGGAGAAAGGCCTTCACTCAGCTTTCTGGGATCTCAAAATTCCCCACAGAGGAGAGAATTTTGGGGTTGGTTTGAATTTACTTGTGCAAGCTGTGGAGCTTGGATTTGCTTTGGAAAAATCATCACAGAATTCTGGAATGGTTTGGGATGGAAAGGACCACAAAGCTCATCCAGTTTCAGCCCCTGCCATGGGCAGGGACAGCTCCCACTGTCCTAGATTGCTCCAAGCCCCATCCAGCCTTGGACATTTCCAGGGATGGAGGAACCACAGCTGCTCTGGGAAAACCATTCCAGTGCCTCACCACTCTCACAGGAAAGAATTTTTTCCTTGGATGCAGTACTACATCCACAGTATCATCCTTCTTATCTTCCTGGGAATGTCCTGATTCCAAGCAGCAATCACCATGCTAGGCACTAATTCCAAATATTTCAGGCCACTGTAACACATTGGAAAGGTCAGGAGGAATATCCACAAATATAATTCCACAAAAAAACCCAGGCTCCTTCTCACAGAACCTGATGCACTATCCTTAGAAAAGCCCAGTTTCCCCTCTAAAGGAACATCATTCCAAGTCATTGGAATACAGAAAAATACACAAACCCAATGAAAAATGGGATATTTATGGAGTGGTTTTTGAAAGCCTCATTTTTTATCCCTTGGATCCCGATGCCCGCCAAAGCCACATTCCTCAAGGACAGTCACAAATCAAAGGAAACAAAGCCTGTTTGTGTTGTCCCCTACTGGAAAAAATCCTTCAGAAAAAGCTTTGCTTGGTGAAAAAAAAAGCTTTTTCTCTCCCCATCTGGGGAGCTCCAAGATGGAATCAACTCTTAATTAAAAGATTCAACTGCCAACACAAATGGAATTGTTCCTTGGCCAAGACTAAATAGGAGAAACCTCAGGGCAAAAGGTTGGATTTTGGAGAGGAAAAAAAAGGAAGAAAGGGGATTTGGAAGGAGATGCTGCCTCGAAGTAAGGAAAATTTAAGCACATGCTCACTGTTTCCACGGAAAACGCTGCTATGGGATACAGACAAACAGGTTGTTGTGGTCAGCAGGGTCCATGAGGATCCACAAATCCAGTAATTAAGGCAGAATCCAGCTGGATTCTGGATGGCTTTGCCTCCTTTGGATACAGGTGCCCACACACAGCGCCTGACAGGGAGCTGCATCTTCCCAAAATCCCCTTCAGCGGAGCAGAATGGTCCCTGCAGCAAGGCAAGGAGAAGGGCAAGATCCCAAAAAAGCAGGACACCCTTCCAGAAACCTTGCCCTGGGAAGCTGTAGTTGACCCATCCCTGGAAGTGCTCCAGGACAGCTTGGATAGAGCTTGGAACAATCTGGTGAATGGAAGGTGTCCCTGCCCATGGCTTAAAGGGCTTTAAGATCCCTTCCAGCCCAAACCATCCTGGAATTCCCTGGCTTGAGAAGGATTTTGGGTGCCTGTAGCCATAAGAACACAGCACTGGTAATGCTGAAACCCTTCATTGGTTCTTTCCTTAAATCTTTGTGCCCTTGGACAGAAGGGAAATTCAGTCTGCTGTGAAGACAGGCTGGGAGAGCTGGGAATGTTGAGCCTGGACAAGAGAGGGCTCCAGAGAGATCTTAAAGTGCCTAAAGTGGATCCAAAAGAGCTGGAGAGGGACTTTGGACAAGGGGCTAGAGGGACAGGACAATGGGAAATGGCTTCCCACTGACAGAGAGGGCAGGGACAGATGGGAAATTGGGAAGTGATGCTTCCCTGTAAGGGTGGTGAGTCCCTGGAACAGATTTCCCAGAGAAGCTGTGGATGCCCCATCCTTGGAAGCACCCAAGGCCGGGCTGGAGCTACCTTTTCTAGTGGAAAGCATCCCTGCACATGACAGGGGGTTGGAATTCAATGATCTTTAAGGTCCCTTGCACCCAAGGCACCCTGGAATTCTGGGATCCCACGGAATGCTGCCCCACCTGAGGTTGTAGGTCCTTAGGTTGCGCTGCCGGCGCTTGGTGGCGCGGAGCTTGACGAAGGTGCGTCCCGTGGGATCGAAGACACACAGCACAGTGATGCACACACTCAGGATCACCACCCAGTTGCACACCACCATTCCTGAAAAAAGAAAAACCAAACCAGGAGTCACGTGCTCTCCAGCCCTTACTTCCCACCCCAAAAGGAAATCCTCTGGAAAGGCTTTTAAGCCACAGCTGGATGAGTCTTCCGGCTGTTTTATGGGGCCATTAAATGCTCCCTGAGTATCCGGGACTGCACCATTAACATCATCCCCACCAGGAGACTGGGAAAGGCTTCCAGGAAAACAGTAAAACCATTCTGAAGGGCAAAAGCGGAATTTACAGACTGCCCTTCCCTGGGAACACAGATCCCTGCCTGAGCGCCGGCAGCACAGGCGGATGAATGGAACGACTGTTCCGAGCAATAAACAGGAAAACAAGCCCCACATTGACAGCTCCCAGCCACTTCCCAGAGTCAATCGGCACAGGGCAATGAAGAATGCCCGCCAATCCTTCGGAATGCTCCCAGGCCACATTCCCGCTCCGTACCCAGGGTGACACTCTTGGCTGTGATGTCGTTGCAGGAGGTGTAGTACTGTGTCAGCCACACGATGCCCACGATGGCGTACACGAACTCAATCACCAGGATCGCTGGAAAAAATGGGAACAGCATGGATGACAGCAGCCTTTTCCCTAAGGATGAGCTCCTCTCCCCATTTTCTCACAAGGAATAGGTATAAAAATGCTTTGGAAGGGCATGTGTAAGGAGATGAGCCTAAAGTGTGACATGTTCCAAACAGCTCCGAAAAAATGGGATCGTGGAGGGGTCAGCGCCCTTGGTTGTGTCACAGGTATGAATCAGAGATCCAGACCTTCCTCCCACGCTGCTGGAAAGACTCCCTGAGGCAGCAGGAATGACAGGACCCAAACCTTAACTACCTCAGACAGCTGGCCTGACTCACGGATCCAAAATATGTGAGTGTGTGGATCCAGGATTAATCCTGCTCACTATGCTTAGCAAACATTCTCAGCACCTTTGCAGCCCTTCCCATAACAGTTCCAAGGAGACAGCGCCTAAGGAGCTCCTCAGTTTTGCATCTGACTGACAGCAAACTAGAAACTGGGGATTAACAGTGCTTCCCTGGAACAAGAAAGCTGGGAAACTGCTCTGAAGTGCCCATCCTCCCACCTTCTCCCCAGAATTCCAAAGAACATGTGGGCAATCAGGTGTGGAGAAGGTGAATACCTTGCTTGGGATTGCCTAAGTTTTGGTGGAGCTGAGCCTAAATCCAGCCTGGCTTATCCCACTCACCCTCCTTATCTCCTGCTGGCATGGAATCTTTCCATAAGTGGCATTGCTACAGACCTGGAAAGACCAGTTCCAGGAGACAGAGCTTTCCTGGGCAAGGAATCAGGGCTGGGACTGGTTCCTGATGAACCCAATTTATGCCTGAGTTAGGTTTTGCTTCCCTTGGCTCCTCTCCCCTTTGCCTGCTGCAGGACAGGAGCAGCAGGAGCAGGGATGAGACATTCCCAGGTTCACATTAGAGTTAATTCCCTAAATTCCTCTGCATTAAACAGCACATGCTTAAATTGGGATAGTCACATGGACCTTGCCCACACACTGGTCACGCTCCCACTTCCATCAGCACAACTGATCAACCACCAGGAGCAAAATACCCAGGAAAAAGGGAATACAAGACCCAAAATCCAGAGGAAATCCCAGTCCTGAGCACACAGAGAGTTTAAGGAAGAAGAAGGGATGTTTTGGGGGGCAGGAAAACCTTTCTTTTGATTCTCCCTACCTCCTCTGCCCCACTTAGTCCGGTTTTAACAAACTGCTTCCCCAGGGAGACTGGCTGGGAAGCTGGAGAGGGAGATTTGTTTGCTGTTTGCATTAATGACTTGCACTGAGCATTCCAAGTCTTCCAGACTGAGCTTTCAAGCAAGGTTATCCTTATTTTAGTGGATTCTGCAGGAAAACAACCCGGCAAAAAGCAGGGATGCAAATGGATGATTTGTTTGGAATGGATTTGGCTCTGCATCCCCAAAGCTTTTTCTCTTAAAACCTTTCATTTGGCACAGAAAAATCTGATTAAATTTCTGTACCTGGAAGGCAACAGAATCCAGGGAAAACAAGCTAAAAGGGAATGAGGGATCAAGGAATAATTCTCTTCCCTGCTCTAGTTTTTGGAGAGGGAGCAAGACAGGAATTGTTTATAGGAAGAAAAAGGGAGTGAGCAGGTGGAAAACCTCTTTTCCTCCCAGTGCCTGGAGGGATGGATCAGGTGAGTCAAGAGGCAACACCTGGGGGTCAGAACCTTTGGGATTTATGCCTCTATCCTTGGAAAACATAGTGGGGGGAAAGAGAGACAGAAGGGGAGCAGATTCCACGAGAGGGAAAGGAGGCTATTTGGGACATCGCCTGCCAGTCTGACAGCCGTGACAAGGCGCAGCCTATGGATTCATCGGGATGCACGGCACATCCTGGCAGCCATCTGGCCGTGCCAGAGGAGCCCCACTAGGCAGGGAGAGGAGGCTCCAGGGCAGAGCACAGGGAAGCGTGGAGGCTCCGGCCGCTTACCCAGTCGCACATAGAGGACGTACTGCATGGAATCCCGCGGCTCCGTGTACAGGATGCTCCCGCGCATGCTGAGCCAGATGATGGCCAGCTCGGCGATCATGCAGCTCAGCAGGATTCCCAGGTAACCCCGGCCGTGGTCCACCAGGTTCAGGGAGCACGTCTCATTGGGATTGTACACCAGCCCGAAGAGCACCACCGAGAGAATCACAAACCTGCCGGGCAGGAAAGCCAAGGAAACCATGGAATATCCCACAGCTCTCCCCTCCTCAGTGTCCCACAGCCCCTTACATTATTCTTCATTTAGGCCCCAAATCCCCCAAGCCATCCAGAGGCCCTGCTACCCCCAGCAGAACCATTTCATCCATGCCACATTATCCCGTGGGATTTGCCACTCCGTGGCTGCCACATCCCTTGGAAGTGTTCAAGACCAAGTTAGACAGGGTTTGGAGCAACCTAGTGGGAGCTGTCCCTGCCCATGGCAGGGGGTTGGAATTGGATGGTCTTTAAGGCCTCTTCCAACCCAAACCATTCCAGAATTCCATGCCTGTTTTTCCTGAGCTTCTGTACAGAAACACGGTCCTAAATTCCAGAGGAGAATCTTAGGCGGCACAGGAGGATAACAAGAAGCTCTGGTCAGGCTCTTTGGAACTAGGCTAGAACTTGGAACAGAGCTAAGCTACAAAAATAGAAGTTGGAAAAATGGTGTTCATCAGGAATGCCCCAACCAAACTTTCTGGCCCCATGTAGAAGCGCAGGGAGAATTTCCAGCCATGCCAGAAATAGCCAGAAGAATTCCTGGGTGAATTCCAAGTATCCTTGTGCCCTTCTCACTTACCAGGTGGTGTGAAGGAGGAAGAGGAAGACGGCTGGCAGAACCAGGTCATCGCTGCCCACAGACCAGCGCCGGCGGAACACGACAATCCCTGGCATGGCTGGCGGGTCCTGGGAAGTTCAGCAGGCACAGCACTCACCTCCTGGAAAAGAATGGAAGCAAAGCTGCTGCTGAGCCTCTCCAGCCCCCTCTGGAGAGCCCCACAACCTGGGAGCCATCCTGGTTTATCCCTGAGCTGCTTCCTTCCAGCACCAGGGGGCATGGCATGCTCGGGAAGGAGGGCTGGGATTTGAAGGAGTGGGAAGTATTAGGTGCAGCCGGTGTGTAACTCATCCAGATCCACTTCATGGGATTACCTGGAATCCTGTTAGGCTGTGATGGTGAGCAGCCACTGTGGGATTTGGGACAGGTCATCCTGGCCTCAAATCTCTGGAAAACCCTGTTACTGTGTTTTTCCATGCACAAACCTGCTGCCAGGCTGTTGTTGTCCAACAATTCTCCCCCCCACACTTGGCTCAGGAAGCCAAAACATCCATTAACAGCCAGTGACAGCATCTGGGGAACTATAGACTGGCTCCCAACAGCACTTTCAGTGAGGATATTGGCTCCTAGGAGATCTCCCCCTGGACCAGCAGGAGCATCTTGCCAGCTCCACATCTCCGTCGCATCCGCACTGGCCCTGACAGGCACGACCAATTCCAAGGTGGAAGACTGAGGAGCTGCTGTTCCTCCCTGGGTTTTGTTTGTGCTCCTATTTTTAGGGCTTCCCAAACCCTTTGGAAAATAGAAACAGGAGTGGTGCAAAGTCACGAGACTGCACAGGGCGCTCCAGCCTCCTCCAGCACAGCCATCCCACTCCATCCCAGCTGGCCGTACTCCAAACTGCTCCAGAGGGACTCTGGCAGCACACCTTATCCCACTCCTGCCTTCCTGGCTCAACATATGACCCACTACCAGGAATTTTCCTTGGTTTTGTCAAATCCAGGATGGTGTCTTTGCACTCTTTCCACAGACACCAGGGATTTCTGGATTGGAGGATTAGTCCTGTCCCTCTTTCCATGCCCTAATCCCTGTCCCACTTCTTACCTGTGCTAGCAGGGAATGCTCCACCTCACCTGTGCCTCTCTGCTCCAAGCTCTCCCAGTTGGTCCATCTCAGTTCCCAACTCCACCAACCTCCCAATTCCCACATGCATGCACTGCTGCTGGAGTGTTCCAGCCATGCCCTGCGGTGGCCATGCTGTTCCAAAGCTTCACTTGCAAATCCCTAAGTGCTCTTGGATTTTTGCCTCCGGGAGCCCAACAGCAAACAACCAAGTGACCTCATCCATTACTTACAACAGGATTTCCAAGAGCATTCCCAAGAGAATATCACCTGCAATACTTCCTGTACCAGGCAAAAAAAAACCCACACTTGGATATGATGCCCCTAATTTAGTGCTGTGGGTAAAACAAATTAGAAAGAGGAGGACATCCATAGAATTCCAGCATAGCTTGGATAGGAAGGGAGCTTGAAGACGATCCAGTTCCATCTCCCTGTCATGAATTGGGACAGCTCCCACCAGTCCAGGTTGCCCATGATTTAAACTAAGTTGAACCTTCCAGATAACACAAATGTTGGGTTTGGGACAGCCCATGGCACCAATTCCTGCCCTGTCCCACTAAATCCAACCCAGCAGTCAGGTGTGGTTACCTCACCACTTCCCAGAATATCCCAAATCCAGAGTCTCCTCTCATGTGCCGACACCCACAGCCACTGGGATGGATCTTCCAACCCATTTCGACCACCCATTACTGAAAACCTACACAATCCCCTCAAATTCCAGGAGATTCCATAGTTAACAGGCCGCTTCCAGCCTGTCACTCAGTTGAAGGAAATGCTACAAACAAAGCAAATGCAAAATTCCAACACCATTTGGATTCCCACTTCCCCAGCACAGAATAATCAGAGCACTGGGTACATTGCAGCTCTACCTTCACTTCTCTGGCCATCTGGAGACTCCCTCCCATCCCCATCGTGCCTGTCATTCACCACCCAGGATAGCTGGGATATCACAAACCCTGGATACACCTCCTGCACTTCCCAGCCCAGCTCCGTTCCCGTCATCCCTCGGCTGCATCCCACCAACGCGCTTTCCGGAACTCTTCCACCCCTCCAGTTGGGCTCTCCCAGTTCCCAGCACCCTCTCCCAGTTTGAGAAGCAGGGTATCAATGACAGCAACAAATATCCAATGTGGATTCCTTATCCACGGCAACAGATGGGGACAGAGCGGAGAAGCCTGTCACTCACTGTCACATACGGGAATACTCACTGTGGAACTGTCACTCCACTTACCAGGCTCCCAGGGCAGGAACATTCCCAATTTATTCCCAAAGATTCCTGAATTTAAACCAGGAGGTTTGGGGCTTTGCCCTGCTTTGGAAAGGAGGGAGATGACGGAAGGCCTGAGACTGGAAAACCCACCAAAAAAAGCTCTTACTGTGAGGACTCTTCAGCTTCATCCCAGCACAGCACATCCCAGGAACTGCTTTAAGATGCTGAAGATATAATCCAGCAGAGGAACTGGGAGGACCGGAAGGCTGGAGTGCAAAGAGCCCTGAGACCACTGACCCCAGCTCTGTGACAGCAAGAACCCTCACACTGTCCCTAAAACTGCTGGAAAGAGCCAAACATTCCCAGGATCTTGAAAGCTGAATCCCAGCACCAGCAGCCCCAAGCTCCCGACACTGAAATAAGGGAAGCACATGCACAAGGAGCCCCCTCAGAGCCGGGCAAGACCTAGGGAAGCAGGAACCTTACATGGCATGTGGTCCAGCCGCTGCGCATCCTTCTCTCCCAGAAGGGTATTTCAGGAAAAGTGCATATCCAGGGAGACAGGCATCACAAGCTCAGGAGGGAAGAGCAAACTCTTCCTGCAGCCATTGAAAATCCCACTCGGCAAAGGGAAGCACGGCGTGGGAACTGGGATCTGCCTGCCGACAGAGCCGGGCATCATCCTCAGAGCAACTCCCTTCCCTGCACCTCATTTATCCACCGGGAATGCCGAGAGCCAGAGGTCGTGACTCCCCCCTTCCACACCCCCCAGCACCCTCTGGAAGGAAGTGACATCATCCCTATTCTGAGGAGATTGTACGTGGATTGTGGGAAGGAGGACTGGGAGCGAGAGCGGGCGATGCTGTCAGAGATGCGGAGCCGGGAGAGGAGGAAAACCCTGGAGCGGCACAAACCTCCTCCCTCTTCCCACCGAGAAAGCGGGAGCGCTGCCGGGAGCCCTCGGACACAGCCATGGCATCGGGCTGGGAAAGGCTCCTGGCCACCGACTCTCCCAGTGAATGGCCAGGGGGAGGGGACTTGGATGGGACACAAAAGGGACACACAGAGGGGGCCACCCCGGGCACAGAAAGGAGAGACTGTTCCAGAGGAGCCTCTCCCGGCCTTTCCAGCCGTTAATTCCTTGTGACATGCTCTGGGCTATGACAGGATGTGGGGGAAGGGGAGAATTAGCTGTCTGTAGGGAAAGGCTTAGGGAAAAGAGCAAGGGAGAAAAACGCTACAGTGAGAAAACATTCCAGCTAAACCTCGGAGACTTAGGCTAATCCAACAGCCCATCCCATCTGACATGAGCCTCCTTAGGGAAAAGTACACCAGGAAATAAAGCTGAAGGAAAAAGGCTGTGCCTGGATCCTGCATGCCAGGAGCCCACCCACACCACAGCAACACCCCCGGAGTCACCCACTCCCTCCACCCAAATCCAGGCAGGATTTGCTCCAAGCTCCCAGAATCGCAGATTCCCGAGGCACCCACACAGCCCAATGCTCCAACCCCCTGCAATCCTCATCCCTGCATCCACAGGCTCACAACCCCCTGCAATTCCTCACTCCTATATCCAAAGGTTCAAAAACCTCTGTAATTCCCCATGCCTGCAAATCCCCATTCCTGCATCCACAGGCTCATAACCCCCTGCAAATCCCCATCCCTGCAATTGCTCATCCCTGCACCCACAGGTTCACAACTCCCTGCAATTCTCCATCCCTGCATCCACAGGCTCATAACCTCCTGCAAATCCCCTTCCCTGAAATTCCCTATCCCTGCATCCACAGGCTCACAACCCCCTGCAAATTCCCAGTCCTGCATCCACATATTTACAACTCCCTGCAATTCTCCATCCCTGCATTCACAAGTTCATAATCCCCTGCAAATCCCCATCCCTGCAATTCCCTATATCCCTGCATCCGAAGGTCCACAACCCATTGCAATTCCCCATTCCTGCATCCACAAGTTCACAACCCCCTACAATTCCCCATCCCTGCATCCACAGGCTAACTCAGGATTCCCACTTCCATCTGCCCAAAACCTCCCCTTGTTCCCGACCTCCTGCTGTTCAGAGCAAAACATGGGAGGACAAACCCAGGCTGAAATCAGACCTGCTGGGAGTTTTTTCTCCCTCTGCCAGATCCCTGGGGATGTCTGCATGGAGGAAGCCCTACTATCCCAATATTCCTTCCCTACCTTTTCCCTCAGGCACCTGATGGCACTTTCACAAGACCCAGGTATGACAAAGCAATCCCATCTCATCTCTGCCAGAACCCTCTTCCAGCTGGCCTCTGCAAATTCCAGAGTTCTCCAGGGTGACTCACCCAAGGAAATTCCCTCTAAACAAGCCAGATGTTTGCCTTCACTGCTCAGGGCTACAGAATTCACCAAAAAGATTGGATTTGTGGGTCTCAGTGGATGGTTGCAGGTGTTGCTAAAGGACAGAGCCCTTTGCTGTTCCACAGAAATCCAGCACCATGTCCCAGAATGCTGCCCCTCTCAGGATCCCTTTCTCTGGCTGAAATGTCACCATGTTCCCCAGGAATGTCCCAGTCCCAACCTGCTGTCCCCTGCTGGGAAGTTCAAGTCCAGGCCTGCCAGCTCCCAGCTCAACTTCTGAGGAAATGGAGCTGGAAAACCAAAACCAAAGGAGCTTTGTGTCCTGCCAGCTCCCATAGCAGCTTTTCCTCAGGAGTGATTTTCTGTTCCAGAGCAGAGGTGCTTCCCTTCTCCCTGAGAGCACATCCAGGTCACCTTGCCCAGGTGCTGGAGACACCTGTCCTG